ATATTTACATCGGATTTGCGTTGAGGATCTTTTAGTCTTTTACCTGACAAACCCTTTCGTGTCAACCCCCCTTACAATTTCCCTTCGTTTTTTCTATATAATTGCCAAGGGTCCACTTAGTCCGAGTGTTAATTCTCAAATGTCTCATCAAAATAAAAAAAAGAAAATTTTCCCTTTTATTATTATTATTATTATTATTTTATGATAATAATTTTTTTTTTTACGTCGAAACCGCAAACGATGTGAAATAAAATAAAAAATTTTAATTTGATTAGTTTTTTTCCTTTTTTATCTTTATTCCCACGACTAAAAATCATGGCAGTTTGTAATTTTCCATTTTCTCTCTCTCTCTCTCTCTCTCTCTCTCTCTCTTTCTGTGATTTTCTTTTTTGCACGTAAAATTTAAACAAAGTAAAACAATAACAAACGAAAAAGAAAAATTTTCATATTTCTTATCCGTTTGGAAAATTCTTATAATTAATAATAATAATTATTAACATGAGAGCAAATATACATAAAATTACAAATCGTTTCCGGTTGTGAAAGGCGCTTTGTTTAAAAAAAAAAAAAAAACCAAATCGACAAAGTATTTTTTTTTTTTTTTTTTTTTTTCAAATAAAAAATTAAAAATTAAAAATTAGTAGACATTTTACTTTTTTTTTACTTTTTTTTTTTTTTTTTTTTGGTTTATTATTTAATAATAAAAAAAAAAAAAAAAATTACAGGTTAAAAAATTTTTTATAGTCTATAAAAGAATAAAAACTTGTATAAGAAGTTTTCTTTTTTTTTTTTTTTTGTTGAATTTTAACACAGCTCATTGAAAAAAAAAAAAAAAAATGTTTTGCGTATTTTTTGAATGATTCATGAAATTGCATGTTCCGATTTTTTTTTTTTTTTTTTCCTTTTTGAAAGAGATTATATATTCTTAATGAATCATGAACCTTGAAAAAAGGTTACAAGTCTTTAACCCTTACGCTAAATAATTTTTGAAAAAAAATAATAAAGAGCGAATTTTATAGCGTCTCTCTCTCTCTCTCTCTCTTTAATTGATATTATTTTAATTAAAATTATTTTTTTTTATTTAATAGTACATAAATAAATAAATAAAAAGTTAATGCGTGTCATTGAAATTTCAAAAAAAAAAAAAAAAAAAGATGAATTTGTATGAGGCTGTAAGAGAAGCATGCTATTCATTCATTAGTATAATTTGTATTTAACCTCCAATATGGCCGACATTTTACGATTCGATCCGTGTAACCTTTTCCCTACAGTTTTTTTTTTTTTGTTAAAATGCAAAAAATAAAACATAAAATCTTTTTATTGTTTATAAATTTCATGCATTTGTTGAAAACACACAATTATTATTAGAAA